GAACGGGCACCACATACATAAAAACTGACTATTTACTGCCATATTTGGTCTCAGCTCGATGAGATTTAGTCTTTTCGACGAGCGAGCATAAGGCTGCCTAAACAGAGCGGATCCGCGCATCCGGGGTGTTGGTGCTATTTGTACAGCAGTTCTTAATCGTTACCCTTCTGTTGCAACTGTTTGAGTGGAACACACAGCTTCATATGACCGATGTACGGGGGAAACAGATGAGCAAATCAAGAAGTGGGAAAACAACTAACCTGGTCATTGTTCCATCCGAAGTGGTTGTCCAAATAGTTGCGTAGCTTTTGCTCTTGGCTAACCACATCAGGGAAATCGATGAAGAAACGAGAGCACATATACCTGAAATGGAAGAGAGTAGATATGGAAGTCTGTATAAACCAACTTCTTTTTTTGTGAAAACTATATTATCAAATTATTTTTTGTTTGAAAATCTGAGGCAAAGCGTTTTTTGTTTGATATCTGTTCAAAAAGGAGCTAATAATAAGTGTGCCGCAGAATGCATTCGCCCCACTCCCCTCTAAACGTCGCACAGTCATATACCATGTAAAACTAGGAAAATTAGATAATCTGCACAAAAAGTTTCCGAGCTTAAAAAAGGTGGCGCGATTGTTTTCAGATACAACCAGAAGACCTTCTTTAGAGAGACTGGTTGACAACTCAAGTGAACGGAGCAATGTGGCAAAGTTGTGCTTTGGAATATCAAATATCGATCATCATTGTAAAACGATGACAATTACTCAATGATAAATTTTTTCAATTAGTTCAACCTCTACATTTTCTTTGCAGTTCCCTATGCAAAATAAAAAACATCGGCTTATGCTGACGTCGTTTCCAAGCCAATTAGATGCATAGCATACGCCGCGCACAAGCACGATATTCACCATGTGTGTCTCATTTATCATCTCGTCTGTGTATGTATTAGGCAGCGAGTGGATAACTCGCTCAGTTATCCATGATCATCAGAACTTTCTCTTTGACATTTTGCTAACGCCAATAATACAAACATACATGGACATATTTCGTGACTAATCGTAAAAGAATAAGTAGGTATCGATTACCTCTCAAGCTGCCTGCATTTCGCCGGTCGAGCTGCTTTGTAGCCCCTCGTAAGTAGGTGACAATATTTAAGTAGTCCTCCACCTCGAATCTCTTCTGGTCGGCGAGTGTCGATTAGTCGTTCATGCAGATGAGACATTGCCTAAATTTGTAATATGTAATTTAATAAATCAAAATTTCTTTGGAAAAATACATTTTTTGAATAAGTTGTTTGCGGAAATTTAGTTTTTAAAACAGAAGATCAACGTGTATAATTATTTGTACAAACGACTCACATATTTACTTATTATAAATACTACATGAAGTTTACTTGAGGGTATTCCTTTTTGTTGTTAAAAGGTCAAAAAGTAAACAATCACATGAGTAGTGAATAGAAGGGCTTTAAGACTTATATTTAATAACTATACAGCACAATCAGAAAAGAACCATATTAACGGTCTAAGGAAGCAATAGGCTAACAGGTGTTGACTTTACTGGACTTAATGTGTAGTGTGCAATCACGGCATTGAATTGATCACCTACCCGTAAGTGACATTTACTTATCGAGCTTGCATTAAGTGATCGACTTATGATAGCTGATAAACGCTACAACACGCTGCTTGAGCCTACGATGACGTAAAAGCCTGAGCGCAAAAATCTCGTTTAAAGCTAGGTTCTCAATTTGGTTTGAGGTGATTTTCCTAGATTTTCTTGAGACCAAAAATATTAACCTGATGTACATCGCCGAACATGCTCTCGATGTAGACTTTAGCATTCGGGGCGTTAAAATCGTCCAATAGCGGATCCAAGGTGATTTGAAATGAATCGACGGAAAACTCGAATTGACGCCTCATTTTGTCGACAAATTTCAATTCGATACATCGTCCGAAGTCATTATGTAATGAGAATAGTGACCAGCGATCGTCTTCACCAGATACCTGAAAAAGCAAGGAATAGACGAGTGGTATGGACGGTTTGGACTTATACACCATTACCTTGACCATTTTTCCAATATATACATCTTTCAAGGTGTCAGCGCTGATTTTGGTCTTGTTTGCTGATGGCATTATATCCATTACAGTGTCAAATACAGCTTCGCGAACCTGAATGCTTATGATATACAAATAGTA